TCCATTCTGATACCCTGTGTCTTTTGATTGGGGCATTTAGCCCATTTACACTCAGGGTAACTATTGAGAGATATGAATTTAGTGCCATTGTATTGCCTGTAAGGTGACTGTTATTGTATATTGTTTCTGTTCCTTTCTGATCTACTACTTTTAGGCTCTCTCTTTGCTTAGAGGACCCCTTTAAATATTTCCTGTAGAACTGGCTTGGTGTTTGCAAATTCTTTCAGTTTTTGTTTGTCCTGGAAGCTTTTAATCTCTCCTTCTATTTTCAATGATAGCCCAGCTGGATATAGTATTCTTGGCTGCATGTTTTTCTCGTTTAGTACTCTGAATATATCATGCCAGCTCTTTCTGGCCTGCCAGGTCTCTGTGGATAAGTCTGCTGCCAATCTAATATTTTTACCATTGTATGTTACAGACTTCTTTTCCTGGGCTGCTTTCAGGATTTTCTCTTTGTCACTAAGACTTGTAAATTTTATTATTAGGTGACGGGGTGTGGACCTATTCTTATTGATTTTGAGGGGGGTTCTGTGAACCTCCTGGATTTTGATGCTTGTTCCCTTTGCCATATTGGGGAAATTCTCTCCAATAATTATCTCCAATATACCTTCTGCTCCCCTCTCTCTTTCTTCTTCTTCTGGAATCCCAACTATTCTAATGTTGTTTCGCCTTATGGTGTCACTTATCTCTTGAATTCTGCCCTCATCGTCCAGTAGGTGTTTGTCCCTCTTTTGCTCAGCTTCTTTATTCTCTGTCATTTGGTCTTCTATATCGCTAATTCTTTCTTCTGCCTCATTTATCCTAGCAGTGAGAGCCTCCATTTTTTATTGCACCTCATTAATAGCTTTTTTTATTTCAACTTGATTAGATTTTAGTTCTTTTATTTCTCCAGAAAGGGCTTTTATAGCTCCCGAGAGGGTTTCTCTAATATCTTCCATGCCTTTTTCGAGCCCAGCTAGAACCTTGAGAATCGTCATTCTGAACTCTAGATCTGACATATTACCAATGTCTGTATTGATTAGGTCCCTAGCCTTTGGTACTGCCTCTTGTTCTTTTTTTTTGTGGTGAATTTTTCCGCCTTGTCATTTTGTCCAGATAAGAGTATATGGAGGAGCAAGTAAAATACTAAAAGGGTGGCAACAACCCCAGGAAAATATGCTTTAGCCAAATCAGAAGAGATCCCACATCGTGGGGGGGGGGGGGATAAAAAGAGGTTCAGAAAGACAAAGAAAAGAAAAAAGAAAAAAGAAACAAAAAAAGAAAACCAATAATGAAAAAATATAAAAAGGAAAAAATATATATATATATTAGATAAACTAATTAAAAAACGTTAAAAAAGAAAAGGGTAAAAGTTAAAAAAATTTAGCAGAAGAAGAGAAAAAAATTGAAAAAGAAAAAAAAAATTTAAATTAACTGCAAGGCTAAAGAATCATGGGGGGAAAGCCATGAGTTCCGTGCTTTGCTTTCTCCTCCTCTGGAATTCCGCTGCTCTCCTTGGTATTGAAACTGCACTACTTGGTAGGTGAACTTGGTCCTGGCTGGGTTTCTTGTTGATCTTCTGGGGGAGGGGCCTGTTGTTGTGATTCTCAAGTGTCTTTGCCCCAGGCGGAGTTGCACCGCCCTTACCAGGGTCGGGCTGAGTAATCAGCTCCGGTTTGCTTTCGGGAGCTTTTGTTCTCTGAGCGCTTTCCGTAGAGTTCCGGAGGGCGGGAATGAAGACAGCGGCCTCCCAGTCTCCGGCCCGGAGGAGTGAAAAGTATTTCTTGCATGGTTTTTACCTATCCAGGAAAAATGTCCTCTACAGAACTTTTGCAAAAGCTGCAGAGGTTTTCCTCATATCCTAACGCATCCTTGATAATGTCTTTTAGTGAAAGTGTTGGCTGATTTGGGGGTTTGGGGTTATTTTGTTCCTTTTTGGTGAGACTGGGCTAATGTGATCCAGTTATATTGCCTTCTGCTGTGGTAAAAAATAAAATATTTAACAAAGTATTTATTAAAAGATGGCCCCCTTAGCACCTGCAAAATAAAAAAAAAAAAAAAGAGTAACGCCTACATAAACCATGGTGTATAATAACATGACTAGATATCCATGATACAACTTTGCATGACTAGGGCAATCTGCACAAAAGGAGGTAGAGTATAATATTGTTTATATTAAAAGAATACACAGAAAACAAGAATATTTTATATGCATTTCTATGTATATATCTTAATCCATAGGAAAAAAAATCTGGAAAGATACAAACCAATCTTACAACAGTGGTTACTTTTGGGAAGGGAGATAGAGGAGCCTGTGACTATGGGTGATCGACATAGGGAACTTCAACCTTACCTGTAATGTTTTAACTTTTTTCATGAAGAATGTGTTTATACAGTACTTCTATTTTTTTATGATGTTATGTTAGTCACCATACAGTTCATCATTAATTTTTGATGTAGCGTTCCAAGATTCATTGTTTACGTGTAACATCCAGTGCTCCATGCAATATAATTTAAAAAAAAAATTGAAAGAGAGTGAATGGGAATTGATGGAAAAGATATAGTCTCACCAGGGAGCCTGTTTCTCCCTCTCCCTCTGCCCGCTGCTCTCCAGGGTGGTGCACGTGCACTCTCTCTCTTGCTATCTTTCTGTCAAATAAATAAATAAAATCTTAAAAAAAATAATAGTGTTTACTTCATATGGTTTTGTATAAAATAAAATAGTACTTGGGAAGGAATAAGGCATATGCATTATTCAAAGGAGGGACCCATGCTAATGAGGCCAACATAAACCATCATAGTTCTATTTCTCATTATCAACCAGCAGTCTAGTTCTCATGCGTCAGTCTCATAAGATAATTGGCATGAGTTAGCCTCCTGACTCTGACGAGTTCTGGGGCACTGAGGAGATCAAGTTTCTAAGGGTGAAGGACTAAATACCCAGCCCGGACTGAGGTTGAAAGCACCAAAGTAATGCCATCCAGCCAGGCCTCCTGTTAGCCAGCCAGTTACCTTTCTTGGTGTCACCCTACTTTGGTATTCCTAATCTATTCATACTTCTAAATAACTTGGGATGGGAGAGGTCTGTGCAGAAGGAATAGAAAGCCTAGAAAAGTTACACTAAAATATTAACAGGTGGCTGTGTGTGTGAAGGAAGGTTATTTGCTTTACTTTTCTATACTTTTCAAGTTTTCTTTAGTGAGCATTTATTATTTTAATATTTTTAGAGCATTTTTAAATGATGTTAAGGGGAAGAAAAAGGGCAGTAGCTTGAAGGGAATGAGGACAGAAATAAGGCTTCCGAGGCTACAAGCTGGGGGGGAAGATGTCAGGGAGTTGGAGCCAGAGCAGGGAAGGTCAAGCACTCTTTAATCAAAAATGAAGTCGTTTTCTCTGGAAAGACTTTTTCTCCCCAGCGCACTTGGGCCTTGAAATGGCTTATTTGCCATTCCTGGCATATGCTTAGCAAGTGACTGCAATGGAAACTATTTGCTTGGGAATTCTAAGCGAATCACTGTACCTAATTGTATTGCTTACTGGCTGTTGAAACTGAAAGTTCCAGATCTGAGTTCTTGAACATTTCCTCATTCTTCATCACCAACACCACCAAATATTTGCTAGTCACCTCCTTGGTGCCAAGCCTGATGCTAATTTGAGCAGGGGTGTGCAGGGTGTTGAAAGGGAGGGAGCTTGTGAGAAGAGATTAAATTTAGAGAAATAAAAAGGTAAATGAAAATGCAAAATCACTGCAGGCTGGGCGAGGTGGCTAGAGAGGCCTTAGAATTAGAGATTCTCAGAGTTGGATTTGAAAGGTCAGTCTAATTCTTACACTGAGATTCAGAGAGCAGTTGGTACTTAAAACGAGCTTTGAAAAGCGTGCAGACTTTGCACCAGCAGAGATTAAGCGTGGGGATTGAGGACAGCAAACACAGGGAGCAGTGGCCCTGGAGCCAGGACACGCAGCGGGGTGCAGACCGAGAGTACCCTGTGGCAAATGATCGGTGTTACCTACAGGCTTCTTTTCTATCCTCTCTTTAGCCCCTTTATATTCAGCTGAGTCTTTGTTGCCTCAGCCTTGTGACCTACAGGCGCACGGGGAAGCCTTCCAAAGGAGTTACACAACCTCCTCCGGCTCCTCTCCAGCCAAGGCTGTCCCGAGGCACTGCTTCGTCCCGGCTCAGTCCCCCACCCGGGGAACTAGTTTGCTCAAAGCACACCACGGGCCCCTCCTTCCCAGGCCTGGCTAGTCACCAGTTTCTAAGGAATAAAGTACCTTAGGGAGTTTTTTCTTGTCTGGTTTGGGTCGGAGTGAGGAGTTTAGTCTGAACTTTAACTGAAAAGTATAAAATACAGTAAAATCCCGGATATTCCAATTCTCGAAACCCCGGCCGCGAGCGCACTTCTTGCCGTATTAGGTTTGAAGTGGGTCCTAGGTTCCTAAAAGCTAAGCCGGCCGAAGAAACAGCCGCCTCAACATCCTGCGTGCACAGCAAGCGTGGAAAACTGAAACAGTCATTGGAGGTGTTTCGAAAATAAACCTCTGAAAACATATTGCCTACGGTGACACATTCTCCGCCGCGGAGCGGGCGGGGGCGCCGAGGACCCGCGCGGGAGGGGCGGGCCGGGGCGAACTCCGAGGACGCAGCGCGCAGCTGCCAGGACCCGCGGAGCCCGCCCCGCCTTGGCTCGCGTCTCCCGCAGGGTGGAGAGGGCGCTGCAGCCGGTGACCCGCTGCCGGTCTCCGGGCGGGAACCTCGGGGCCACGGCCGTGTCCGGGAGTTCGGCGGGGGATGCAGGATCCTCTCCTGGAGGCCGGACGGGAGTAAGGGTGGCAGAGAGAGACGCCGGGGCGGGGAAGCTGCGGCTGGGCCGAAACCGTGGGAGTCTCGGACAATTGAGGGCGTGCGGTGGAGCCCTAGAGGCAGCCGTCGCGTGAACTGCCGGCGCCGGGCGTGGGTGGTGGGCTGGCTCAGCCGGGGCCTGGCCCTCTTGCTTCCCACCGCTAGAGCGGAGCTGCCGAGGGCCCCTGTGGCACGCAGGCTGTTTCTCTGAGGGCATTGGAAACGCGGCGCGATGAGGAGCCGGAGTAACTCTGGAGTCCGACTGGATGGCTACGCTCGCCTGGTGCATCAGACCATCCTGTGCCATCAGGTAGGTGAAGGGGTGTCGCTTGTAATCATCGAGGATGTGCAGTGTGCTAGCCTAGACGGAGACCGCTGGGGGAACGCCCCCCCGTGTGTGTGTGTGTGTGTGTGTGTGCGCGTGTAGCAAGTTCTCCCGCCGCCGCCTACACCCCCCCCCCGCCCCCCAAGCTGGGGAAGCCTTAGAGGAGCCTGAAGCTAGGTGTTGGGCCGAGAACCGAACTATGGACAAGCACAGTTAGTGGGGAGCCCTGAGCATTGGCTTCTGAGCCCTCCCCTTCGCCCCCTCCCCTTCGCCTCCTCCCTTGTCCTCCAAGCCACAGCATGATTCCAGGAGGGCACTGCTGAAAGAGATGTTGAAGCTTGTTTATTGACAACTCCCTCCCCTGACCCAGGTTTGGGCGTCATCTTCTTGCCCTCCAGCCAAAGAAGAGAAGTAGGGGAACATTTAGCCATTTTAAGACTAGATTAATGTGAAGATTTGAGGTACCTTGTATATACTGTTTATTATATATATTTTTTTCTTGTCCTTTGATGCTGGTTTTTCGTTGATAGTTTATTCTTTCTAACTGGAAAGTTAAAACACTGCCTTTCTTTTAACAATACTCACATTTCAGACTCATCAAGCTTCAGCTAGCCTTTCCGCTTATTCAAGATAGCAGTTGCTTGCACTTGATTGGAAGAGGTTATAAAACTCGGGAGTAGTGAAGTAGAAGACCAAAGTCCCTAAGTAACCCCTTTGATAGGTTTGGTCTCCTCATGTTAACACATTGTGGTTACCTGCCTGTCCTGTTTTTCTTGGTCTTGCAGAATCCAGTGACTGGCTTGCTTCCAGCCAGCTATGATCAGAAAGATGCCTGGGTCCGAGATAATGTGTACAGTATCTTGGCTGTGTGGGGTTTGGGCCTGGCCTATCGGAAGAATGCAGACCGGGACGAGGATAAGGCAAAGGCCTATGAACTGGAGCAGGTACTTAGAATAAATATACAGGGAGATCTGGAGCTGTGCCTGGTAGTGGGGAAGGGGGTTGAGGAGCAGGGATTAAAGGAAATGTAGCTCCAAGGAGCTAAAAGAACTATATTTTGCCTTTCTCCCACCCTCTTCACTTTCTTGAAATTACATTTCAAAAAGCTTTCCTGTATTGTACTAACTTTTTTTGGTGTAGTGGAAACATGAAACTTGCTGATTCAGGAGGGAGAGGGCACAGTCTGTTCTGTTACAGTGGAAAAACCTATCCTGGGATCTTTGCTGAAATTTATAATCCTCTTTCTAAGTAACAGTATTTTGCAGCCTTGAGCATATTTATTCTCATTGAGAAGAATATTTGGGGGCAGGTGTCTATCAATTTACTTCATTTCTTTTAAATGATAGGTGGTATTTGTATGAGGGTAACAGACACAAATTTGTAGACCTTCAAACTAGACACGAATAAAGAATTTATTTGTTAAATTTTATACTCATGACCTCTATTTCAGAGCCTGTCCCCCTCCCTCAGCAAAATAAGGTCAGAGTCAAGCAGATGCCTTTAAGCCAACTTTTAAGGCCCTTCACCTTTATAGAAAATAACATCCTTTATAGCACTGTTTCGACGGAGGGTGCTTCATTCTCTTTAATGACCCAGAAAATGATATTCTAAGCTACATAGGCTCTCTTAATGTTGTGATACTCTGCTGTCTCTTGTAAGGTACATGTGAATTCTTTTCCTCTAGTGGAGAAGATTCTACACCAGCCATTTGCTCAAGTGGTATCCCTCAGACTTGGGCAATCTGAGCTGTAGTCTTCATCTATAAATCAGAATGTTGAGATTTAGTTATTTTTTAAGAGCTTCTACATATTGCGGGGTTGCAGTTCTTGGCAATAGGTAAGTTTCACCATATTGTCCTCTGCAACAGTAGGTATTCCTTATTCCTTCAAGCTGTTATTGAGAGGGACTTGGGCCCTTCAGAAAAAAACTGCTGGAGTTTTTGCTTTAGCTCAGGAAGTACAGATCAATATTTTTATGACTTATAAAAATAATACATAGCCATTGTAAGAATTTGGAAAATATAGAAGAGTGTTCCAAAAATCCTGTAATCCTACTCTTCCACCCCTGAAATTCTGCATCCTACTGTAATGTTTGGCTATTCTCATCTCAGTATTTTGTTTGTTTTGCTAGAGATTAATATCAGTACCCAGGATTCCATACCTAGTACCATTTGACCAATTTTTTTTTCGATACCATTGGAAAAAATCTATTATCTCCTTGTTGACTAGTCATTCTATGAAGTTAACATTTTTCCTTCTATGGTCCAGGAAGAAAGAATTTAACAGAGGAAGGAGAAAAAATTAAGGAAACATTGAATTATTTACTTTAAAATTTTAATGTCTCATTAAATAGTTTTTAACATGGCCCCAAAATAGTTTTCATACTATCTCAGTAATAACTTTGAAATATCTCAAAAACATTACAGCAATAGGAAGCATCTTCAAAAAAAGAAACATTTCTCTGGAAATCATAAAATTTCTATGAACTTTCGTCATGAATTAAAACAGATTTTATTATTAGGTCTCATTAACTTTTTTCCTCAAATCTGACTCAGTTAATTCAGACTAGGGATTAGAAAACCATCTCTGTAAAGGGCCAGATAGGAAATAATTTTGGCATTGTGGGTCACATGTGGGTTCTGCCCAACCACTCAGCTCTTCAGTTATTGCACAAAAGCAGCCAGAGATTTATTTACAAAACACATGGTGAGCTAGATTTGTCCCTAATCTATGTGAGTGGTTCTAAACTCTGGCTGTACAGTGGAATCATTTGGGAAGCTTTTAAGAAATACTCTTACTGGACCCCACCCTAGAACAATTTAGATAAATCTCTGAAAGTGAAGCCTTGGGGCTTTAATATTTTAAAAAAAAACTGATTCTAAAGTGCAGCTGGGGTAATAACCACTGATTTGTGGCCAATAAGTGAGTATAGATTAAATCCAGGAAATCCATAAATTAAATTCCCACCTACTCTCAACTCTCCATTACTGTGTGGATTTTCCCAAACCACTGATTGTTAACCATTTTTACCTTTCCTTCCAACTCTCACCTTGGTTTCTCTCTAAGAAACAATGTCAGAGAACTAAAAAGAATTAGGAGACAAGGGTTTAGGGGACTATTTCTATCTTAGATTGAGAATATAACTATGCACATATATGTTGCCCTTTGCTCTTAGTTATAGAATATAGATATAGAATATGTGCATAGAATGTAACTATGCACATATATGTTGCCCTTCGCCCTATATATAAATGCCCTTTGCTCTTAGTCACATAGATATAGATATAGAAATACACCCATGAAAATAAATAAGCACACAAATAGACATAGCTCTTCGGATACCTCCAGTTCTGCTTCCTCCTCAATTTTGTTCTCTTTATGTAGTCTCTTATCTTTTCTCAGGAATTGAACCATACCCTTTGTAAGAATGACTTCCCAAACTGCATCTTTAACTCTGATCTCACTTCTGTTTCAAACCCTCATTTTCATTGTCTTCTGCTCAGTTGCACGTGGCTTCTCAAGCTCAGAATATCTGAAATCCTGTGTTCCATACTAAAAACAAATAAGAGACTACTGAAAACAGCAACTCGGCATACAGCCTTTATTCTCTTATTGGTGTCCTCGTTCTACCCGCATCCACCTGGGCAATGTTATTTAGAGAATTTCCTATAGTATATTTGTGGAACATTAGGTCAAGTAGGTTTGGGAATACATTAAACAGTGGGTTTCTTTACTCCATTATTTCTCAGAATCTTTGATACGTTAATGCACATTTCGAATCTAAGATGAGAGTGGGTTTTACAGCCTTTTCAGAATTTCCTGGACTGACTAGTGTTCTATAAAACACTGCCCTTAGGGTGATTTTGACTTGTCCCTTTTGCCTTTTGATACATGCAGACCAAAGTCTGTTGATTCTTATAATTTTTCCTGAATTCATCTCCTCCTTTCTATTCCCTTCTGCCTCAACCACAGTCTAGACTTTCATCACTTAACACTGTTGTGAAGATTTAAATTATATCATTTGCATTCTCAGCAATTTTTCTGTGGCTTTCATTTTCCTACCAGTAAAATCCAGATGTTTTAGATTGATAGGTAAGACTCTCTAGGGCTTGGTCCTACCCTGCTTTTTCAGTATCGTTACATTCTGGTGCCCTGCATTGTCACCCTCAGTTCCAACCAGGTTGGTGTCTTCATTACTCCTCTAACAATCCCTTAATGAGAATACCTGACATTTGTCTAAATACTTTTTGTTGTACTGCATACTTCCCCATAATTACTAGTATTTTATTCTCACAGTACCCTGTGATTTAGGTATTATCTACTCCAATTTACAAGTGAATGGACTGAAGCTTGGAGATGAGGCTAGGATTTGGTGGTGCCATGAACACAGCCTGGACTTAATGACTACAGATTAAGTCTTTGTGAATTTTTCCAACATGGAAATCATGGACATTCTCACCTCTGAACCTTTTTACAGGTTGTTTCTTCCACCCACAATGCCTGTTCTCTTCCAATCTGAACTAATGCTCCCCTTTCAAAGCCCAGCACCAGTTCTACTTTTTCTCTGGTTTCTGTCCTAAGACTACCACTCAGTTGTACAGTGACCACTTCTTTCCCAGGACTGCTTTCTTGGAACTTCTAGATCACTTGCAGTCTGTACCACTCAACATGTTCACTTTTTCATTTAGCAGACTTTATGTAATTTGTCATATGCCAGACCCCGTACTAGATATAAAAACCAAAGTGGGACAAAATCTTTATATTTACCTCTTAACTTCTTATTTTTTAAAATTTTTAATTTACAGGAAAGTTTAAAGAATAGTAAAATGAGCATATTTGCATACACTCTTTATCCAGATTTACTAAATTGTTAACATTTTGTCATATTTGCATCCTCCCTCTCTCAAAATGCATGCACACACACATACACACACACAATTTTTTTGATAAGCAATTTGCGAGTTACTTGCAAACATGGAATATACATTTTTAAAAATAGAGCCTGCTTGGGTCCGGGGTGGCTCAGTAGGTTAAGCATCTGACTCTTGACTTCGGCTCGGGTTAGAATCTCAGGGTCATGAGATGGAGCCCCACATTGGGCTCTGTGCTGAGCACGGAGCCTGCTTAAGGTTCTCTCTCTCCCTTTCCCCTCTCCTGCTCCTTCTCTCTCTAAATAATAATAATAATAATAATAATAATAATAATATAATAACGTCCGCTCAATCCATTGACTTAAAGTTTTTTTTTTAATTTTATGTATTTATTTGACAGAGAGAGACACAGCGAGAGAGAGAACACAAGTTGGGGGAGTGGGAGAGGGAAAAGCAGGCTTCCTACTGAACAGGGAGCCCAATGTGGGGCTCGATCCCAGGACCCTGGGATCATGACCTGAGCCAAAGGCAGACACTTAATGACTGAGCCACCCAGGCACCCCTGACTCAAAGTTTTATTTCTGAACCTGGTCTCTGTCCCTTTTTCTTGAGGAGTTTATAATCTAATGAGGGAGACAGATATATAAGCAAATAATTAAACAATACATTACACTGTATCTACAGGAGAGAAATACAGTAGAAAGTTCTATGGGACACAGGCAGGAATGTTTTTACTTTGAACAAAGCAAGGAAGGATACACAGAGGAAATGGATTTTAAAGGATAACTAGGAGTTGTTAGATAGACTGTGTTTATATTTTAGTTTTTTCTTTAATTCTTGTGTTCTGTCTCCCCCTTATCTTTATGTTCCACAAAGTCTGGTAGAGTGTTTTATATATTTTAGATGACCAACAAACATCTGATTGTACATATACCTGGAGAGAGATAAAGATGAATATTTACATAGATATGTTTGAGTATAGTTATATATCCTTATATGTCAATTTATAAATATGTAGATCCATATTCTCAAAAAGAGTAGGTGAGAAGGTGTCACTTGATGTAGTTATAAGCTCTACTATATGAATGAACATGTATAATTAATGCTAACTAGAGCACTGAAACAGAAAATGGCCAGTTTGGGGGAACACAAAGTACAGATAGTTTCCCTCATTCCCATATCCCCATGCTTTCTTTTTTTTCTTCCCCATGCTTTCTATTAATTTTATCCTGAATTGCAAGTTAGAACTTGAGAACAGAAATGGCTGACAGTGGCCATTCCAGGAGGACAAAAGTAAAACCAGGAATTCTCCACTGGGTCCACGATTCCCATGTTTACTATTTAAGTTAAAGAAAACATAGGGATGACTGGGTGGCTCAGGCAGTAAGTGTCCAATTCTTGATTTCACCCCAGGTCATGATCTCAGCATTGGGTCATGAGATCGAGCCCCCTGTTGGGCTCTGTGCTGGGCGTGGAACCTGCTTAAGATTCTCTCTCTGCTCCCTTTGCCCCTCCCCCTCCGTGCCCTTGTGCTCATTCTCTCTCTCTCTCTCTCTCAAAAAAAAAAAAAAGGAAGAAAAAAGAAAATGTAGGTAGCAGTAGCAGGGCTTGATGGTAAAGACAGTTGAAAGAATGTGATAGAAGCCTGTGAGTATGTGGTGACATATAGAAGATTGAAATTCAGAATTGAATCAAGTTCCCCACAGAGGAGGCTGTGTTAAATGCTTTCTCTAACAGGGTGTATTAAAAGGATGGTCTCTTTTTTTTAGGGTCAAAGTAGTGATAGAGATTTTCTTTTTTTTAACTTTGTGACAGACAGAGAGAGAGAGAGAGAGAGAGAATGCACAAGCAGGGGGAGGGGCAGAGGGAGAAGGAGAAGACGACTACCCGCTGAGTGGGGAGCCCAATGAGGGGCTCAATCCTAGGACCCTGGGATCATGACTGATCTGAAGGTGGATGCTTAGCTGATTGAGCCACCCAGGCGACCCCCCTCTTTTTTGTGATAAGGATTTTCTTATAGAGGTGGCAGTCAGTTTCATTATTTATAATAAATGCTTCATGTTCTAAAGGGTGATCATATACTGCCTGCCTGCTCTCTCTTATGTGTAAGCACACGCACTCGCTCGCTCTTTCCCTCCCCCCGCCATATATATATACATCCCTTGATCTGTAAGGGGAGGGCACCATTTGTAGACAGAAATAACTTAAGAAAGGGAATTCTCCCAAGGAAACACCTTTTTATTTATTCTCAATAAAAGACTACATAAAGACTTGAGCATAATTTAATAGATACTTATCCTTATTATGCTTATTGCTTATAGTCCCACTTCAGTGTTTTGAAGGAATGACAGAATGACCTGGCTCCCAAGCAGATTAGTTTTCAGAGATGTCCTGAGGCCACCTCTGAACTAGCATTCCCTGGAGTAACCTGCTTATATTTCTTTTGGACTGTGAAACAGAAAGCTTAAAGAAATGGAGAAGTTGTTTGATACTGTGTTTTTCTAAAATATATTGCCTACCCATGCCATGTTGATGGGCCCTTCTAGTGTCATGTACTATAACTAGTATAGCATATTATTTCTCTACTATATTGTAATTTTATTATTATTACTATGTTATATTATGCCAACTAGTACAGTATATAGTTGGTGATCAGAATTTTGGAACGTGAATGGAAAACTGAGTGCATTAGAAATTGCCAAGCCCTAGTAAGAGAAAGAGTGATGACTTGAGACTGAAGAATGACTGTAGCTTTTTTTTTTTTTCATGGAAAAGAGGTTGAGTTGCACTAACTATTCCCCTTCACACTTATTCTGAATTGAAGTTCATTTATTCTTTAAGGAAAATATACAGATAAATATTTCTGTGAACTCCTCAAGATGAGTCTTGGCTACTTTAGGAGAAAAAAAAAGTGATGATTTTGGCTTCTTCAGGACATAGGATCTATGATAAAATATCCTCATAGCTTTAGGACTTTTGAGCTGTCTTTTCTCCCAGCAAAATGTCCTCTAACAGGATGGTTGGCTTGGTTTTGTATAAACCTCTTGGAGCTTGGATTTTTTTTTTGACCTGAAAGAGGCACCAACTGCCACTTTTGATTCCACTTTTAGCTGCAATTTAGCTCTTCTGTGTGCCTATAAAGTAAATGCCATGTAAATAGGAACCCAGGATAGGGTTACTTGTTCTGAAAAGGTCATGTACCAACTGCAGTTGCTGACTAAGTGTTCCTGCAGCTAGGGGTGTTTATAACAGTCTTGTTCCCATTTATTTCTGCAGAGCGTAGTGAAGCTGATGAGGGGCCTGCTGCACTGCATGATCAGACAGGTATGGTATTGTTAACAGCTCCTTCTCTAATAAAAGCACATTGTAATCGTGTCTCTACCCTTTAGGAGATGTTCGCAGCTTATATTCTTTCGATTTCACAAATAGTAGACAGTGATTTTAGAAAATTTATAGAATCGAGGAGGGGAATGTCGCCATGATCTCACCACCCCGTTACCACTGGAACGTTTCCTTCCGGTCTTTTTCTACCCCCGTACAAATGCCTTTTTTGATATACTTCATCATTACTGTACATGCAATTAATTAAGTACATTGAGTAAAGATGATACAGGCATATAAGCCCTCATATGATACCCTTGGGACCAGGTACATTTTAGAATACAGATTTTTTCAGATTTTTCAGTACAGTGCAAATACTAGAATATTGTGCTCTCAGCAGGTCCAGAATAGCACTGCATCATCAAAAACATTAATCCCTCCATAGGGAAACATGCATTTTCACACTCAGTGAAATAAGTAAAGACTACAAATGACCCCATGTCAATTTGGATCAAATGTTGCCACCAAACGAATTTTGGCACAGAACTTAGAGAGGAAGAACCTTTATGGCAATATTTTAGACTTTAGGATTAGAGATTAGTACCAAAGGCTTTTATCTGCTTGGATTAATTTGCATTTTCCTGACCTTGAATGAAGTTGAACATCCTTTCCTGTGTAGATTGAAAACTTGCATTTCCTCTGTTAATTGCCTGTTGGGTCCTTTGTCTATTTTTCTTTTGGGCTGTCTCTTTCATGACTATTTGAGGAGTTGCTATACATTATGGATATTAATGTTTTGTCACATACACTGCAAATTTTTTCAGTAGCCTGTGGTTTATCTTTTGGGTTTGCTAATGATTTTTTTTTCATTCAAAAGGATTTTACTGAAAAAGAAAAAGTGTTTTACTTTTATCCTAGGAGATCTTTACACATGTTGCACACATTGAATCTAAACTGACTTTCTTTAGACCAAGATCACATTTTATTAGAAGTCGAGGCCCAGATTAGTAAAATGACTATCCACAGGCACATCACCAATCTAAAGTAGAAAGAAATCAACTCCAGACTTCTGAACTTCTTCGTCAGTGCTCTTGTCTGTATTAGCTCATTGCTATCACTCATTGCTATAATTTCTTTTTTCCCCTTCTCTGCTCCTTTTTTTTTGTATTTTAGATATTTGAATTTTCTATTTTCTACCTTACCAAACAGGTTTAAAGCCACCAACTTCATGAACCTTATTTAAAGGTACAGCAGTTTCTACGACATATCAAATGCACATATAATCAAATCTCAGTTTCAGGAACAAAGTCTTTCAGTTGTCCGTTGCACAATGTTTCCTTTCTGACCTCTGGTTTCAGCCCTCATTCCTACATTTTTCTCTGACATTCCATGTATGTCTCCCCAGCAATTTCTAGTACTCCTTCAAAATAAGTCCCCTTATCCTAATTTCCCTCCAAATTCCTCCCTCTGTTTCAGGAACAAATGTATCTTTTTTACAACTCAGCTGGCTCTTCTTACTAGGCTGTTCGCACTCAACCCCTCTGCATCTCAGTTGATATCTGCAGTGTGGCAAAACAACCATCCGAAATGTGAAAGGGAGGTAATGAGTAGGAAATAGTTGGCCTTAACTGGCCTGATTTTGTAATTAAATTGCTTAAATTTAAAAAAAAACAACAACAGCAAACTTTCCTGGTTGCCTTAATGTAGGGAAAAATAAGTAACAATGTACTTTAAATATTCACCATCGCCTGTAAACCAACCGCAATAAGATATGTTCGAGTGCTGCAGAAGGATGGCATGTGGGATGATGTTTCTGCATTGCCTGCCTTTACTGTTCTTGTTTTCTTCAGGTGGATAAAGTCGAATCCTTCAAGTATAGTCAGAGTACCAAGGATAGCCTCCATGCCAAGTACAATACTAAAACCTGTGCCACTGTAGTGGGTGATGACCAGTGGGGACACCTGCAGTTGGACGCTACCTCCGTGTACCTGCTCTTCTTAGCACAAATGACTGCCTCAGGTCAGTAGCAGGACAGAGTGGCTGGGAGCCACTGCAGTGAGGAGCACTGGCTCCTGCACCTGTGGCTTCTCCAGGAAACGACATAGCCATTGACCTTTCTCAAAGACACCCAATGGAAATACTATACTTTGCACAGTTTTTACAGAGAAACCAACTCTCTGAGATCTAGTTAATATTCTTTTCCCTTGAAAAATAAGTCTGGGGTACTAAGTAATTGTTTTTAAATGGAGAACCAGGAAATCCGGGGTCTATTTTATTTAGATGGGTATTCTTTGTCTTTCATTAATCCTCAGATACCATGAGATGGTGAGATTAGAAAGAAGGGCTAGGGTTTATTGCTTGTTCTCATGCTATACACTGAACAGCCTTTAGTAAGTACTAACATAAACTGAATCACCTACTTTCTACTATTCTTTATATATGTATTATAAAAAGGCATCTGTCTAAACGCATCTAAATTACATTAAAGGGAATTAACTTAGGAATCAGAATTCAAATATTTATTTTTTATTATTGAATAATACACCCTTTTCAGATGGTTTTGTTATTAGGTTTAGGTCTTTACCTGAAAAAGGAAAATGTAAGAACAATCATAATTCCCTTTTCTTTTTCCTAACTTGGGGAGGATGATGAATCTGATCACACTCTGTTTGTAAATTAAACAGGACCTTTTCCAGATCTTCCTGAGTAAGTAAATATACTCAGAATACCACATTTTTTGACATTCGAATTTATTTTTCTTCCTATCCGGCTATAGAATTCCTGAGTACTAAGGGCATTTGGGGCAAGAATTGCCCTAGAAAATTCTTGTTCTCGTTTTCTTTCATAAATAAATATTTGGTGATAAAGCCTTCCTTTTTTTTCTAAACCCTCTGGAAGGCACAGACCAGAAGCTGAAATACCTTTTATTAAAATGATAACATGGCTACCCTTATACTCCCATATTTTGGAGGGGAGGTTCCTCCATGAATAAATATATATTTCAGATTTTATACATTTATATAGAATGGCAGCTATAACTTCATTTCCAGCATTCTTTTAGTACCCACTCTGGAGTGTTTTTCTACAAAGCAAATTGTCTAAATATTTCTTATAGTTTTCATTTTGAGTCCAGAAGGGAGTAGAAATATACTAAAGAGGCTTATATAAGACATACTCATTCAACAAGTATTTGTTGATTTCTGATATTTGATTTTCACCTCAATAAGCTGACTTTGATAGGTGCTTGGAAAAAGATGGATATAATTTGATTGGGCTGGGCGACTGGGTGACTTGGTTGGTTAAGCATCCGCCTTTAGCTCAGGTCATGATCCCAGGGTCCTGGGATCGAGTCCCACTTCAGGCTCCCTGTTCAGCGGGGAGTCTGCTTCTCCCTTTCTTTCTGCCTCTCCCCCCTGCTCGTGCTCTCTCATGTTCTTTCTCTCTCTTTCTCTCTCAAATAAGTAAATAAAATCTTTTTAAAAAATAAAGGTTGATCAGACCTTTGCAGAATAAATAGGAATAAGTAGAATTTCACAAGTCAGAGAAGGAAAGGGAATAGCATGACAACAGCACAAAAGTTGGAAAGATACTGGCCACCTAGGTAATACTAGTTATCTTCTATGGCTAGAGAGTAAGATAGATCTAGAAAAATGCCAAAAGGTGAAGCTAGACAGTTGGAGCTAGCTGTTTAAAGGCCTGTAAATCATGCTAGGTAGTTTGGAGTTTAGTCTATAGTCATTAGAGAACTACTCAGGGTAAATAATCAAGAAACTTTCAGATGATTGGCTCGGTAGCAGGAGGATAGATTGAATGGATGAGAAAATTAACCTGGAGGACTAGTCAGGAGGTTAGTGGAATACTTTAGGCAAGAAATGATGGAGAACACATGTAAGGCAGTACCCTTGAGGTTGAAAAGGATAGATGTGAGAGGTAATCAGTAGATAATGTATGAAAGATCTTCATGGAAAATTTTCATCTTTCATGTAAGTAATTCTCTGCACATGTTTGAATTCTTAAAACCTTGGTTAAAAGAGAGGCTTAGTTAGAAGCTGACTACCTTTCCCCCCAGCAGAATAACCATAAATTGTGAAAATAAATTTATAAAAACCCAACCATTTAGTCAATGGACATTGTCCTAAGGGCATACGGCAAGCAGAGAAACATTTATTTAAGCAAATCTGAATCTTGATAAGAGCAGCAAGAGTGTGGCATTTGGACCACAACCTACTTCCTCCCTCTCCCCACTCACCATGACAGAAGCAGTACTCAGCATGAATGCAGCCAAGAATATAAGGCTTCCTCTTCCCCTACCTCCCAGTTTAGGGCTATGATGTCTCCCCAAGAGAGGTTGCCAGCATTTCTCATTCTCCCCACCTCTGTGTTATGGAAGCTCTGGTCCAGCCAAGAATAACTAAGGGATGTGGAACTCTACTCCTACTCCTCAGTCCCACCCATGGAGCTTAACCCCAGACAGAGCAGTCCAAGAATAATAGGCTTGGCCAACCTTGCTTGTAGCATGAAGGGACAGACAGGCCACAGACAGAAAAGCTCCATAGTCCTTCCCAAGAAAACTGACTTTATTTGGAACTGACTGTGGGAAAGTTCAAGTCTAAGGGCATTGAAAAACAGTGGAGATTTTTTGTTCTAAGAAATTAAGAGGAGTTTTATAGCTCAATAAGAGCAACAAACTAACCCATAGACTAGCTAGAAGTTTTAGCAGAGAGTCAGGGACAGAGACAGCTAAAAAGAGTTATCCTAGGGTTAGAACAGGTGCCAAAGGCTGGTCTCAAAATCCTGAAATGAGGTTTGAATTTAATTGGATGAGACTGTGGGACAGTTTTTACTTCAGAACAATATACAGAATAATAGAGCAATCAGCTGGCAATTGGTGGAGTTTAACAACTGAGTATGATACCAACAGAGGCAGACACCACGGAAGACCAAAACAAAACTGCAGTCTTCCTTGGGTGACAGTGTGAATGCCCAAGGCTACATCCTCCAGGGAACAGCATCAGAGGCTCCATACTGTGGGAAAAATAGATTTCATTGAAATTGTCCAGCCAAGTCACTAAACAAATAGCAAGTAAACATAAACAAGCCCCATACAGGAGGGTATTGATATATCTAAGGAGTTTCTGCAACATATTTTCTGCATTATCTAGTTTTCAACAAAAATGTATGACACATGCAAAAAAACAGGAAAGTCTGAGTCAACACACACAAAAAGCAGGTAACAGAAACTGCCTTTGAGAGGAACCATTATGTTGAATTTAGGAGACAGACTTCAAAACAGTTACTATAAAAATGTCCAAAAATCTAAAGGGTACCATGCTTAACAAAGTAAAGGAAAATATGATGAAAGCATTTCTTCAAATAGAGAATATCAATAAAGAGATAAAAATGATCCAAATAAAAAAATTTGTAGTAGAAAAGTATAGTAACTTATTTTTGTTCCAATTGTAGTTAGTTAACCTATAGTATAATATTGGTTTCAGAGATAGAATTTAATAATTCATCACTTACATCTGACACCCAAGTGCTCATCATAACAAGTGCCCTACTTAATACATATCTCCCATTTAATGCATCTCCCAACTACCTCCCTCCATCAGTCCTCAGTTTGTTCTCTATTAAGAGTCTCTTATGATTTGCTTCCCTTTTTTCCCTTCCCATATGTTCTTCCATTTTGTTTCTTAAATTCCACATACAAGTGAAATCATATGGTATTTGTCTTTCTCTGACTGACTTATTTCACTTAGCATAGTACACTCTAGCTCCATCCACCTCACTGCAAATGACAAGATTTCATTCTTTTTGATGGCTGAGTAATACTCTGTTGGGTATATGTACCACATCGTCTTTATCCTTTCATCAGTCAATGGACATTTGGGTTCTTTCCATAGTTTGGCTATTGTTGATAATGCTGCTATAAACATCAGGGTATATATACCCCTTTGAATCTGTATTTTTATATCCTTTAGGTAAGTACCTACTAGTGCAATTGCTGGCTAATAGGGTAGTTCTGTTTTGAACTTTTAGAGGAACCTCCATACTGTTTTCCAGTGGCTGCACCAGTCTGCATTCCCACCAACAGTGTAAGAGTGTTCTCCTTTCTCCAAATCCTCACCAATATCTGTTGTTTCCTGACTTACTGATTTTAGCCATTCTGACCAGTGTGAGGTGGTATCTCATTGTGGCTTTGATTTGTATTTCCATGATGATGAGTGATGTTGACCATCTTTTCATGTGTCTGTTGCCCATCTGTATGTCTTTTTTGGAAAGATGTATATTTGTGCCTTTGGCCTACTTCTTAACTGAATTAATTTGTTTTTTGGGTGTTGAGTTTGATAAATTCCTTATAGATTATGGATACTAACTGTCATAAAGGAAAGATTCACGGCAGCCATACTCTTAGTTTCAAAGGGGAAAAAACACTATTGATATTATAAAAAATCTAATAGAAACAGAAAAAAGAAAAGGGAAATCTGCACAGAGATGAGGGCAATAGTAAGCAGTAAAGGAGTATAAGACAGAGTTATATCAAATTGAGTACTTACAACATCCAATCTCGTTAGTTGGGGAATCCCCTTGGATATAGCTAGGCTGGAGACCTTATTGAGAGGCCTGGACAGAGTCCTTACCTCAGCTGAGACTTCCAACTGACCATCCCCATAAAGGCTGTATTTATAGGTCAAGTGACATGGCAAGTGATGGGGGTCTGAAGTTAAACAGTCGTTTGCTTATGTGCAGTTTGGAGCAAGCTGCATTCCTATGTTATCATTTCTTTACATAGTCAAGGATCCTCGGCTAGGTGTGCTTGCCTCCCATCCCAGATTCCACTGGGGGGCAGCAGCCCAGCCTGGAGCTGGAAAGGATGTAAGGCAAAATTTATAGTTCTTGGGATCCAGACCAGAAGGGCCAATTAGCTGACCTGGAGTCCAGCTAATGTCAACTAATCAGGCTCCCAAGGTCCCTTATGCAGCACAAGTATCACAAATGACATTCTTTAGCCAACCTGT